ATAATAATAAAGGTAAAAAAGAAACCGAAGAATAATAGAAGGGTCTTCCGCTGAAGACGGAAGACCCTAATAAAAGTGAAAAAGAAACCGAAGAATAATAGAAGGGTCTTCCGCTGAAGACGGAAGACCCTAATAATAATAATAACAACAATAATAGTATAATAATAATAATAAAGAAAAAAAAATAAAAAATTGTATGTTGAATGGCATGTGTAAATTACATTAAACTGCAATGGACAGCAAGAGTCAGTGCTGAAGTATATAGTATTATTATTTTAATTGATCCACTTCTGCTCAATGCAGAGTATACAACAACACACGCATATTAACAACATAACATACTGTAGTTTAAGTATTAATTCAAAGTACATGTAAGTAAAGTCAAGATCAACATGTGACTTTGAATTTGTTTAACTACACATGACTTATAAATTCACACAAATTGCATAGCACATCAACATCTTCACAGTTCATTAACCATAAAAATTGGTTACTTTTAGACATACTATTAAAAAGATGAGATCTCAGAGATATTATGGAGAGTAAATTAATTCTTGATAGACTATGGCATGGACAACCCAAAAGAAAATGTATTTCATCTTCTACCTCTTTTAATTTACAATTGGGGCATATTCTCTCTTCTCTTGGTATACCATTATGTCGACCTTTTTCAATCATCAGATTGTGAGAAGAGATTCGAAATTTTGTTAAAATCTTCCTTTTCTCAAATTTTCTTAAGATTAATAAATAAGGTTCTAGCCCAAAGTTTTGTTTGATTGTGCAGTAAGTGTCTAACTTCCCACAAGTACTTAATTGTTCCTTCTTTTGATACCACTTTTCAAGAAAATATGAATTAAGAATGCGTTTACAATGATGTTTAAAGGCTGATGTAGATGATTTCAGATGAGGCATTAACTGAGGAAGAAGTTGTTTGAATATATCAATAGAACCAAACCATGATAATTTGTTTTTGTTGAAATTGGATATTGAGGCAGTGTATGCAGCTTTTAATAGAGGATATGTGTCATCCAAATTTTCTAACCTATGCCAGTAATTCAAAATATGCTGAACAATACTGAAACTCATAGGGTGTCTACCTAATTCAGAAAGAACAGCAAATTTTGTACTTTTGTTATTTACGCCTAATAAAAATCTACAAAACTTGTAATATAATTTCTCACAAAGTGATTTAGCATATAATTCATCCAGTGCAACAGGTCCATTTCTAAATCGTGCCTTAGTGGTGTTAAGTGCCCCCCAAATTTCACTACCGTAAAGTAGTATGAGTTTTATTGTATGATCATATACGTGTAAAGCTGTGTTTATTTTAGGGTTCAATGATAGGAAATTTAATGATATTTAAAATAATTAGAGATATATCTATGATGTTCATGAATATATACAGTGTATAAAGAGGTCATAGGGTCACACTGCAGGTAAGACTAAAATCCCAAACCGCACAAAAAAGTCAATCTAACTCACCCCCTTCCTCTTTTATAAATCAGAGTTTATATTATTTCACATTAAAACTAAAACTTTGTTCAAATCTTATTTTTTTTCTCCTACATCTTCCAATTACAATCAATGCAACAAACATATCAAATGAGTTTTTTTTCTACCAATTGCCAAATGGACTGGGAATGGTACTGATACCAATTAAATGTTGAAAAATAGCATCAAATTTATTTACCTTTAAGTTTTGGATGAAATAATAATATATATTGACACAATGAAAAGTTATTCTACAGAAAACAATGGATTCTGTTGAATCTATATGAAAGGAAGTATGATTGAAAATGTGTAGGTAGTTTATAAGTTGATATGTCTGAGTGTTAATATAATTATGTAAAAGTGAGAATAAAACTTATGAATTGAAAAAAACCCCATGAATTATTGGGTAAAATTCCCAAGTTTAAAAAATGTATATAATAAAGTAGTCAATAAAATTATCATACCACCCCTCCATCTTCAGGAAACCAGACCTCGTTATTTGGTCAAAAGAGTCATACATATGAAGGAGGAATTAAGTGATGTTTGTCTATGAAAATTGACCCCACCCCCACCCCCACTCCAGAATTGTTCATATATCTGAATTGTTCCCTTGTCTACATATATGTAACTGGTTCATGCTACATGTAATTATTAACATGGGCTAGCATGGTGGAAATTACATGCATATATCATAAATGCAACCTTTACAGAAGATAGGATGTACATGTGTGTTAATTTACTACTGTATCACTTATTCAGTTGTAATACATAAACTTTTGTTATTTTTACAGCTATTATAGATAGTTGAAGATGACACCCTGTTCCTTTAAAGAAGCCATTGGAGGAAATGTATCTTGATCGGAACCATTATTAAAGTTTAATCTTGTTTTACCATGTTCCAAATCAGACATAGATCTGTCTAATAACCACAGACCGGTAATCCCCAGAAGTGAATCTGAAGGAATGGAGGATTACATGTGATATGTATTTTTTTGGATGATATAGACAGTTAATACATGAATGTGCCCAAATCACAGGCAAAACTTGGACTTGCTTGGACTTTTTGTATTGTTTTTGAGCTTCATGTGTATAAACTGAATATTAAATGATCTAATATAATAACTTTTGAAAAATTATGAAAATTCTTTTTGTATTTTTAAGCTATTAGGAAATGGAACTTGCAAGAATAAGTAGCCACTAAAATTTTATTTTTGGTTCTTAAGATTTTCCAAGTTAAAATTAGGGACTTGGAAGAACATTATGATTTTATTTATTTTCTTAAGGAGTAGTTGTCAAAAGTTGAAGCATAAATCATGCACTTTAAAGAAACCTCCTTCTTAAAAAGAAAATTAAAGATTTTACAAAAGGGTCAAGTTATATTTTTTTTATTTCATTTTATTTAAAAAAAAATGGGGGGGTAGGCTGAACTCTAAGGATGTTTTTAATGAATGTGGTCAAATTAATTTTTGTTGAATCATTTTTAGTCTAAATAAATGTTGACTTTAGTTCAGTTTGATGTGATTTAACAGGTTGAATGATATAAGCAGAGGGGGAAAATAAAATAGATTTTTCATTGGATTTCTCCTGTAATTGCTTTCAGTAGTGTATTTATGGAACTATTGAAGGAGAAATTTTTAAAGGGGCATTAAGCATAGCTGTACTTAATGGGCTTTTCTGTTAAAAAATTGTGTTGTTGTTTTCATCATCTTAAACACTTCTGCATTTTCATCTTTGAATTTATTGAAAATACCATTAGACCATGCTTGACACCGAATATCCTTCAGTAAAGGGGTATATTTCAAGTTTGTTCAAATAAATGGCCGAGCTCCTTCCCAAGAGGAGATAATCAGGGAAAGCCAAAAATAGGGTGAGGTCATTTATTAAATATTTGCATAAATCTTAAGAAAATGATGATTTGAAAGCGTCCTGATATATCAAATAATGGCCATTGGGTTAAGGGTGAAACCACAACAGGGAATCAAAGTATATAGGTAAAAAATAAAAACAGCGAAGCCAGGATTTGTCATATTATGCAAGGAACTCTCGGGTAGTGCAGATGTCATTGTGTACTAATTGTGGTCCCAGGGGCTAAGATGAGGCTTAAATGGAGACTAAATGAGAATACATGTACACATTTTCAGATATTCTTTTCAAGAATAGCAAGACCAAACTAAATCATATCAATTAATTTGCAAAGATTCCCAAGTTATTTGGATTTTAGTTTTTTTCCCTCAGATTGTCAACCTCTAGGTATGGATGGGGCTAAAATTTTACATAGTGCAGGGGAGGAAAATTTTAGGGAACATCATGGTCATTTTAATCATTATTGATGTTGAAGCATCATTATTTAGTGTTGACTAAAGGTTGTTCATGATGCATTACTTTGCACATGTTTCAAATACATGTATTTCAAGAACAGGTCATATCAGGTAAAATTTTTAACTTTGACCTCAATTAATTAACTGACCTTGCCATTGGGGTCAAGGTCAACAGTAGAGCATGCATTATCTTCTTGAATTGTCTAACAGTATACACTGCATCAATGTATGAAATATTTGGAGCAAGGTTCAAAATATCAAGAACCATGTAGATTTAGATAAGAAATTATTAGACATAGAATATATAATACAGAATAATTTGACCTTGGGGTTAAAGGTCAATGTGAGGAGAAGGTCATAGTAGTGCATGACTCATTTCCTGTTACAACTGCACCCATGTGGAATAAGGATATATTGTTTCTGAAAGGACAAATTACTTCTAGCAATCTGAATTGTTAACAGGAAATCATCTAAAAATACCCAAATTTGCATATTTTTGAATCTCCATGGCAACAATGTTTTTATAAGTCTACCCAATTTTATTTTTTAATTTTCTTGTATACTCAAACAGTTACAAAATTTCATTTTAGAGTTTATAAGCAGTTGCACGGATTTTTGTCAAATGCCTTTTAAAAATGTCTTAAATTCAGCTATTTTTTCAATGCTAAATTTGTCGCTTTTTCCCATTGCCATAGCAACGTAACAGAAGAACTAAATCCAATTTATTCAGGCAAAGTAGAACTATCAATTTAGTCATCTTTAAAAAATGGGTAGTTTTAAACCATCTTTTGAGAACATTTGCGTGAAAAATGCATTTAATTATGTCAGTATATGCCCGTTTTGAATGTGAAAAATTGTTCTGGTAACTAAGGAAATGTTTCTCCTTGGATACGACTCGGTGATTATGGTTGAAATCATTAATTTTGTATTTTTCTCGTTATTTGAGACAGAAATAATCCATGCACGCTATTTTTTAAAAAAAATCAAATTTTTGACTTTCCATAGAAAGCTCGACGCTTACTGACATGCTCTCTTAATACAGGATAGGATGGTTCTCTCTTGAAATCCTACTAAAGATCTGATCATACTGAGAACTATTACTAGATGAATTCTGTCTTGGACAGTCATATTTTGTTCTGCCCTTTGCTTAATAAGAAAAGGACAACCAATGCTATTTTAATAAAATTTTACCTATATTTTTCCAGAACTCCCAGCCGGGTTGAGTATCGTAGACCATTGATTCGTTTGGGTGATTTGTTGGTAGTTTACAGAATTTGGTCAAGTTGTTGTAGAAAACTCCTGCACAAACAAGCTTGTTCATCAAGCACGCCATAGTACATTCAATGTGGTCCATGTCCTTCAGCTCCATAAGAAAGTGTTCTAGACTCGGTAGAAGGTTGTCATACTCGGACAGTTTAATCAGCTCAATCTTGTTAAGATTTGTGTTACATTTTACAAACCACTCGCTATAGAGAGAGATCAGTAATAGGTATAAGAATGTGCATAGATTTGTACTCTCCTTCAACATGGTATCATACGTGAAAAAACCCGGACCCTTCGGTTCGATTTACTTTTATCATTAAATACACTGCTTAATACCACCTAATTTTACCGAGAAGTGACATTAAATATGTATCAAAAACAATTTATTTTCCACTCGTATCGGTGAAATATATTTTAAAACAAGTCAATTTTAGTGAAACACTGGAGTAAATTACACGGGTAAATTTAAAGGATGGTTAAGAGTGAATTAAATATTAGCTTTAACAGCTGATTACAAATGGTTATCAATAATTCTTTCACATATAGAAGTATATTATTTGACAAAGGAAAGGAAGAGACATTACGGATCTTATGAATTTTTGAATAAGTTTCTTCTGAAAGGAAACAATAGTAATTAAAATTTTTTAATAAGTTTGATGAATGGGAGCAGAGACATAAATAAATTATTTTTGTCTCTGATGGCAGGGAGAGGAGAAAATGATTGAGAAGCTTTTTTTTTTTCAAATACACGTGTATTTAATTTTGCAAATGATTTCCGTTATATGACATAATATTATTTGAACAAAGCGTATTTAATTAAGAAAAAGGTATCATTTTTAAACTGTTATAGGAATGATTGGTCATGCGATCAAATCCCATAATCCCCGAAGGGCTTTACGGTAGATTTGATCACGTACCAACCCGTACTAACATCCGATAAAAGTTTTAAAATGATACCTTATCACTTATATTTACATTTGTGACTGATTTTTAACAAATATTTGGGTACTATGGTTTTAAAACCATGAAATGATTTATTTTTCAAACCTCAACGGTATAAATTAATCGTGTTGAACACGTCGACCACTTATGATCTCACTATGAAATTGCGTCAATCGTTTATGACTAAACTGGTCAGGTGGCGAACCTGTTTATACATATATGTAAATACTCCCTGCTTAAATAATGTTATATAAGGGAAAAATATTTGCAAATGTAAATATGTCTGTGTATAAACATACCTTCGTGCTTTGTTGGATTTGATCACATGACCAACCCGACTTTACACCCCGATGAAAATTTTAAAATGATGATTTCTTAAATATATAAACACCCCCTCTCCCTTACTAATTACTTGTAATTGAATTTATTTTAAAGATGGTGAACTGCTGTTTTGATGTTGTAGTTTTTAAAATTGTTTGTTTTTGTTTTGTTGTTTTTCTTCTTTTTGTGGTCTGTAACAATGCATGTGCATGGACAAATTTACGAATTGAAAGCCAGGGGATGTTATCTAGCATAGATTCTGTACTTGTTTCTGCAATAAAGTTTTACCTCACCGCACTTTTGGGTACAACAATTATTACAAAAACAAGTGCCTGTGACATCTACGGATGCTTGATGTGGTAGTCAGGATACAAGGCAAAACTTGGAGGAGATCCGAGAGCAATTAAAGCCCTCGAAGCTGGTGCATCATCAGCATATAACGTACGTTAAAGTTTCAGCATATAATGCTTAATCATTTTAAGCGATTCTGTTTATTCACATTCTCAAATAAAGCTTAAAATTATTTAATGCTTAGTAGCTGTGGCCAAACTGTTTTTGAAAACACAGATTATTTAACAGCCTGTCATAAAAAGGAACGTAAACTCCTGCAAATATACATGATTTAAAAAATGTCTATTTAAAAATGAAATTCTGACAAAAACTAACACATCTTTTGCAAAAGTAAGTCGCAGGTGTCGTCAATAGCTTAATGAAAAGTAATCAAAGAAAATAAATGAGATAAAAAGAACAGTGATCGATTTCAAAAAACCAATAAACAATACAAATCTGTGAACAGGGGTTGCAATTGAAAAGGAGATGGGTGAACAAGGTGTGCAGAATGCTTCAGATATATAAAAATCATATTCAGTTTGTGAGTATTCAGAGTAAAGTTCTCATTTTTGAAATTTATGAAATTATGACAAACAAAACTTTTCTGAGGAAAATTGTCTCAGCAAAAATTATTCTATTATTGAAAAGATAATGTGGTATTCTTAGGGTTCGAATCCTAGCAATAAAAATCCTGAGTACCATTGAGTCCTTTGAGACTAACACGCTTTTTTTTTCTCTTTTTGAGACTAATACGCTAACCACTACGCTGCACAACTCGTGATGAATTTTGGGATTTAAATTATGATTCTGATATGATTTTTGACTAAATGAACTTCAAGTATTTCTCGGAAAGATACAAAGGTTGTGTCTTAAGGTATAGTTTTTGTTAACGAACAAATGTAATTTTTTACGCAAACTTTGAGGATATTTAACTTTCAAAAAAAATGAGCGAAGACCCACTTATACAGACAAAAAAAAATTCTGTAACAGTTATTATATGAGAAAATGATCTTTTTTGTCGTCTTTGGTTTGTGTATGCTATTTCATAGGTAACTAATTTTAATTTTTGTGAGATTTTTGCGAATTGTGGAGATTTTTCATAAAGTGTACTTTAATGTGTTAGATAAAATATCAAAGAAATTTTTTTAATAATTGAGCTTTAATTTTTCGCCTTCATATTTGTCGCACCATAGGCATTCCGTTCGCCTTGTTCGCCCATCTTCTTTGAAAAAATAAAACTTCTATCCAAATTCACTGGTTAAAATCACATCATATTTTAGTTTTAAAATATCTTGTCTGAAAACTCAGCCATCTTTCTTTTTACATATTTGTCCTAACTTTCAGAAATGCTTATTTCCAAGTTAAATGGCAATAATAATGTTAATGATTCAGTACTTGATAAAAGTTACTTTGCTTTTCAATAAGGACATTAACCAATTTTTCAAATTAAATTTGGGGGTGGTTCGGGAGGTGGGGCTTGTACACGGAGCTATTATTTGCAGTTCCTCTGAATAAATATAAATATTTCTATAAACATTTATTTCTAAGACCTAGACATCAAAGATATAGTATATATAAGGCAACTACCAAGGACGGAGTCCTGACTAAGCCCCTTCTATAAGTAACAATACAAAACGAGGGTTGTCCCAAAATTCCGCAGACAAGCGTAGTTTTGTAGTGTCATAAATTAATGAAACTTTGTACCTAGATTAAACCAACAATAACTAATAAATTTATGGACAAACTCTGAGTAATTACAGAGATATTAATTCTATATCTATTCCATTGAAATTGTATTTATCGGTGAATATCATACTCCTCAGGTGGTTAAATCATCGTATTGACTGAAAACCCCCCCAGCAATAATTGTTTTATGATATGGTTCAATTTTTAAGTGATACGAACTCATTAAGCAGTTCATGACATCTTACTTGTTGACATTTGCCAAATTCCACAGACAAGCGTAGTTTTGTAGGAAACCGGTATTATAAATTAATGAAATTTTGTACATAGATTAAACCAACAATAACTAATGAATTTATAGACAGCACTGAGCAATTACATAGATATTATTTCTATATATCCATTGAAATTGTATTTATCATTTTTAAAGAGATAATACGGCTGTAAAAAATGTCTTCTTTTTTTCATTCAAATTTGCCCAAAATATCGTTAAATTTCGAATTTGTGATAACACTTTGAAAATATATATATCATTATCTCTGATGTTAAAAATAATTCTTTTCTAGTTGAATATATTTATTTAAAGTTTGGGGCATCTGGTCGCGGTGACATAATTTATGACAAATTTGGGAGCGGCCGCCGGGTCTTCTTCCCAACAATCATCAACAAAAGTGGCGACCTCAAGTGGGCTAAATTGTGCACTGGGTAAAGTTCACGAGTGCAGAACGCCACGCTGGGTACAATGGGCCAATATTCCATCAACAATGTTATCAATGTCAAATGAATGGGTCAATATCCCATCAACAATGTTATCAATTTCAAATGAATGGACCAATATCCCATTAACATTGTTAGCAATGTCAAATCGGCCAATATCCCATTAACATTGCTAGCAATGTCAAATACAATATTTTCAATGGGCCAATATCCTATTTACATATCCAGGGAATTTCAATGTTGAAATTTATCAGTGTTTTAAATCAAAGGAAATGCGCCAATTGCGCCACAAGAATTATACAAGTTAACAATAGCATTCGTCCATTTGAGGTGGGGTGGACGATAATGCCACATGCACACAAAAGCATCCGCCACCAATGACTGTCCCAACTATTGGTGACGGTGTCACTTCTCCACCCCACTGATGACCGCCATGTAGAGTTAAACTGATTTATTGCCAAAAGGGGCCTGGACATAGATTTGTAGTTAATATTTTTCAAATTTTCTTGACTTACATGTTGCTATAACATTTCACACGAAAACATATAGAAGAGTGTCCAGAAACTTTTTTTTATCTGAAAATTATTGAAACCACAAATTTCGGAACGCGTTTGGCTGACACATCCTTGCACATTCACAAACGTTATCCTTAATACTCAAGAAAAGTAGAAAATTTTGGTGTGTATTAATGAAAAATATTAAAACTATAACCCAGAAAATCCAGAGTAGAAATGTGAGAAAACAAAACCAACTCAGCAGTATTGTCAATCCGTGCTCAGTGATGTGTGCAGAGTTTAACAACATCTACTGCTGAATTTAGACAAAATATTGTCGGGCTTAGAGAGTTGAATGCACTTCACATGACAGCCTCGATATCGTGAAAGCATACTGGATATTTCTCAAAATATTATATACTTTCAGGGGAAAATATCTATTTTTAAAGACATTTCTATAGACAATTGGGTCATAATTATTCAATTTTTCCTCACTTAAAATATTTTTCTTAATTCCGTAAACAATTTTATTACAGTACATTTATCACTTGCATATGATTTGATGTCCAAAAATTCACATAAGGGATAGGGTTCAGTATGAATAATTGAAAAAGACCGGAATTTTTTTTCAACTTAAAAAATGTGAAATTTACAGATGGACGACTTAATAAGTACAGTACAAACATAATTATATTCTAAAATAATGGATAGTCAAGTACATATGATTATTTTCATAATCTCTCCGACTTTTCAAGATCAAAAAAGGGAATAAGACTTTAAAGGTTAGAAAACGATTCTTTAAATAATTCAATCCAGGCGTGTCAGCACTGTGCAGTTCTGTCCCATTTTGTTATCTACACCCTGCTTTTTTTTTTTTTTTTTAAATATGCTTTATGCTTTTTTTTTTTTTTTAAAAATTCGCTTTGGGCCAGTTATTATTTATTAGGAAATAACCTGCGGGACACATTTATACTCAGTGAATTCTTGATTTATTTTAATTTCAGTATAATTTTGATAGAAAAGGAGTAAAGTGACCGAAAAAAAATGATATAAAACATAAAAAAAACAAGGAAAAAAAAACAGAAAAGAAATAGAAAAATATGATATAAAACATAGAAAAGTTATGTTATGCTATTTATGTGGAAGAACTAACAAAAATATACAAAGCGCCACAGGGGCGATTGAAAGTGTTAAAGTAGTCAACCAGGTCCTGACATTAATTATTATTCTACCAATAACATTATTGCACCCGTTTTGCTCATTGATTGGATATATAAGGCATTATATGAATTGTTCACGATGTCATTGGTGGTTAGATATTAAGCTGTAACTAACAGTGACCAGATTCCTGCTTCCCTTCTACATATATTTCCTGTGTATATTACCCTGATATGTAACCAGCACTGGACTTTCGTTTTGTGAGACGCCTTCTTGCGGAAAAAAATGCATGTACAGAGGGTAGTCGGGCACTATGTTTGTGCCAGGATGGATTTTTCGACTTACCCCCAGATAAAACAGCTGGAGTTGATGGCTGCTTAGGCAAGTAAAGAGTGAACCATGATATTATCATATGATTCAGCGGATTATCTGTTGAGTAATGAAAGACATATTAGTTTTTAATAATTTTTCTTTCTCTTGTTGTCTGATACTAGTAAGATTTTTGTCCCCCCCCCTTTTTTTTTTAAAAAGAAAAAAAACATTGATATTCCATAAATTTGTAAAAAAATATTTTCCTTGCTCGTCTGATCTTATTATAAATTTCTTTAACTCCAAATTTCTTTTTTCAAAGAAAAATTGAGAGAAGAATATGGTTTGTGTTTTGCTCTTGACTCCTTTTAGACCTCTCAAATTAAAGTTATGTGTTAATAAATAAATCGAACAAATTGATTTTTTGGTTGACAGACCTTAACAAAAGGTGAAATTATATATATATATATATATATATATATATATATATATATATATATATATATATATATATATATATATATATATATATATATATATATATATATATATATATATATATATATATATATATATATATATATAACCTTTTCATTTTCTAACTCATTATTCCATGTAAGGATTTCTAAGGATTCGAATTTTATTCTTATTAAAGAATTCACTACTTAACATACATTATTCAGATAACGTTGTAACATCTTGCTTTTAATTTTCAGCTGCCTGACCTTCTTGATATTATTTTTCTTTTTCCACCAAATACAGTATATGAAGTAAGTAAAAGAAATGTGCGAGTGAAAAATGTAAATAATTGCTCTCTTTAAAAACTCGACTTCTACAAACGATATCTTAGGGGAATGTAATGCAATCGGAGAAACAACCCAGTGTCCAGGGAACACGGTGTGTACGCCAGGAGAGACCGGTTTTGGAGAATGTGAGTGTCCCCAAGGAGTTTTTGGGGAACCAGAGTGCATTGGTGATTACTATTAATAATTGATATTTAATGTGTGGCATTTCATATGTTTCCTTTTAAAATTAGAATTTTGTCACAAAGAAACAGTTTTGAAAACAACAATCTGATTTGATTCAGAGCATGCATTCAGTCAAAGAAAATTGTTAACTCATTATTTCATCAACTCTACATTCTTATATTTTCTTAGGAATCTGCGAAACTAAATAACAATGCAATTTCGGTGGAGATAGCTAAAATGGAAAGTGCGTTTGCTTTTCAGAGTTTCAAGGAGAAAGATGCGAAAGTAAGTACATATATTTTTTTGTGTTTTAGTCTGTGATCTTTTTTTTATTTCCCCCCTCTCTTTCCTTAGATTTTTTCCTTTTATAAAGAAAGGCAATTCCATTTGTCAAGATATCATGATATCCAAGACAATGAATTACAAAGTGCTTAGATAAATCACACAATTTTGAACAAGTTTCAAAATATAAATAATGTACGACCATCATCATTTCAATTTTGCTGGCCGTCCATCATTTACATATTAATTGTATATTTTCTTTGGCAGGAGCGTTTTACTTGGTTTGAAAGATATTTATACTGATTGATAAATTTAGAAATTATTATCAAATATATATTTATTATTTCTTTAATCAAAAGCTATTTCCAAGACAACCACCTCTACTACCACCACCACCACCACCACAGAGAGACCCAGGAGGAGAGTTCTGCCGCTTGTGGTGGCTGGGGCCGCCGCTGCTGTTCCGTTGCTAATCCTTGTCCCAGCATTAGCTGGTTCTCTGACTCTGGGATAAAGGGAAAGGTGACATGATCGTCACCAGTAATAATAAAACAAATTTAAAATTATGTGATTGTTTTCATCAAATCCAGCTACACTGGACAAAAGTTTGCATAAACAAACATTTCTAAACTGGAGGGGTTTATCTATACACGAGATTCCGTAGATTTACGGAATCTCATGTCTAGATAAAATCCCTCCATAATGATGACCGATGCAAAAGTTTCCCTGACTGCCATTATACCAGATCATCCTTAAAGGTCATAATATTTAGTTTTCTACATGATTAAGAGCCATTCTCTGTAATGACTTGAACTTTTATATAGGAGCTGTGGCACGCATAGTCTCAGAATTTCTCCAAACTCTCTATGATAAAAGTCTTTGATACCGTAAATTCAAATCAGGCAAGAATTGGTTGCTACGTGTCATGGTTACCATAGCAACATGTTGTAAAGTTTGAAAAATGGCATTTTTTCAACATGTTCAGAGTCCCACAGTTAACGTTTGCAGCAAAGCAAACAAGTGGCAATGACTGTTTCTGAAAGTTGAAGGTCTGATGTCTTAAATGCATGATAAACATGTTTGGTAAATCAACTATAACATACGTAACTATGGAAACAAAGTATTCAAAAGTAATAATTTTGTTCATTTAATTTTATAAAGTCATACACTTAAGAATAAAAACAATTATAGGTTGAAATGCAAGCAAATAATAGACAAGAGATCCTTGTAACATATACCAAGGACAAAATATGATATTTCTCATAGGTTGGCAATGGTTGCCATGGTTTTAATAGCATGAAGGGATTTTAAATTTACTCTCTTATTGTTTTAATCTTATCCTATCTTTTTAAAAAGCATATTTCTATATAACTGATGATCAATTTTTAAAGGCCTTGGTGTGACCCTAATTTTCACATTTCAAAAAATTCAATTTCAATTCCTTAAATAGTGCGCTGCTATGGAAATAAGGCGAAAAAACATGCATAAAAATCTGAAAAATACTCCGTTTCCTTGGATACGTACCCTTGTATGTAGATTCCCAAAACTTTTATGATTGATATATGTGAACAACTAACCTGACTTTTAATTTTGACTACCACCCAATCTCTAACTGGATGCAAAAAGCTGGCACATAGGGTCTAATATTGACATAAAATTAACAAAATCGAACATTTTCTCTTCTTGGTAACCATAGCATCAGTGTTGTATTTTTCAACAACCTGTATCAATATATGATATTCAACTTTAGTTCTATGAGATAAGTACTATTCAAGGTGATTCAAATAATATGTTTCTTGATTAAAAGGTTAGTAAATTCCTAAGGCAGCAAAAAAAAAAAATCACTTTAAACAACTAGTACGTTGTTTCCATGGTTACACTGCAAAGTGACAATTAATCTCAATTTTTCTTATGTTGTCGGTGTTGCAAGGTCCTAAGGATGTATATGTGCCAGTCATGAATTTTATTGTTTTTCCTCAAGATAGTAGCATTAATCCAATCATAGCAACAGATTTTGCATGGGGACACTGTGTTACCATGGCAACCATGAAAGTTATTTTTAGAATAATACTGGCATTACCTAATTACATAAGGTAAATATTTTTCATTGCTTTTCTTAGGTTTTTGATTGAGTTTGATCATGTAACATCTATCATTTGTGAATATTGAGCGTTTTTCAGCATTTTTCAGCATCTAAAATGTATTCCAAATGTGCCCATGGTTACCACTTACTTAGAGATAAATTCTAATAGTTTCTTTATAGCATAAGTGGCAACAAGGTGTCATGTTTTTGGGAGAATAGTGTGTTTCTCTTTCTCAGTCTTTATTAAGGCTTAATAAAGATTTAAAGTAGCTGAAAATCTCAATTTTTTCAACTTTTCTGGCTGTTACCATGGCAACCAAGACACATAGCAACGAAATTTTATTTAATATATCTTTCTGGTGTCAAGTTGTAATAATGGGCAATGTTTCATCAAAATCGGTGACCATGCGTGGCAAAGAAGTTTAAGTGGTTACAGAGAATCGCTATTAATAAACTGAATCCAGCTTTATAGTATGACAGTGAAGTAACATGTATTTACAAAGATAAAAATTATTCACTGTATGTCTCAACATTTGGACTTTGTGCACAACTACATTGTAAGATTGCATGGATTTATATTTACATGAGATTGTATAGTAATTAATCCCAAAGCAAAACAACTGTTAACTCTTTAGTATTCAAGTATTATTTGAAGTAATTTATTTTTAGATCTCAATTATTTACATTTATGCAACCCATAACCTTTACAAAATCATGGTATTAAGATTTAGCTAAAACAACAAAGCAAGCTAGATTTAATTTCATGTCGACCACATGAGTGTTTTAGTGGAAATGACAGGAGTGAGTGTTGAGTCCTTTCATACTTAAAATCTGATCTTACAATGAACTCATAACTTAATATATTTTAATTCTATGTTGCGATCCCAGACTTAAAGAAAAAATAAACTTCAATGGGGTATGTGGTAAAAAAGTATAATTACAGAGTAAATTCTGATATTAAAATGTCCAGTACAGTGTTAAGTGTGATCTCTGGCTACCTAGAGACAAACAATTTCTTATTGACAGGGTAGTATTATTTTCTAAAATCAAGTTACATTCATGAGTTCATTAATTTGATAAATTTGCATTGTCTTGAAGTAATTTCTCACAAACTATCATAGAAGATAATATTATTTTTATTCTAAAATAATTTAAACCACTCATAACTAAGAAAAAATGGAGATAGAAAAAGTGAATTAAATAAGACAGTTTACCTGAACAAAAAAGAAAACGTTTTCACTGATGTACAAAACAGACTGGGTTAGTTTAAGATCTCTCAACAGCAATGACCAAAACATGGAGAAGACTGGCACATAGAAATTGACAAACTCGTCATAAAATTTTAAGGTAAAGTTGATGTTCAGTTAGAACGCCGTGGTGAAATAAGAACATTTCTAAAATTGGGGATGACACCAAGGAAGACTTGAACATCATTTAAGAACAACATTATTGTATTTAATATAAATTTCTATGTAGACGGATACAAATATCTTCCAAAACAATTCTGTCATCTTTGCCTTTATTCACAATAAGCAGAATCCACTGAGAACTAAGTAAACTGTTTGAAGTCTTATCATAAAGTTTATTAACACCAAAAACTTCACTACAGCATGAAGACAACACATAGATCACCAGAATTTGGATTCTCTCCTCTAGTTAAACAACTTCTTGACGAACCAGAGATAGTGATTACCGTAGACACTGGTTATAGACTGCTTTTCAAAGTGGACTGTGTAAATGATGACGAAATCTGGACAAGTGTAACTGATAACACCCGAAAATCTTCAGCATCAATCGAGGATTACTACTCAAGTCAATCACAACAAAGTCAGGGAATTGGCCATATGAAATAGCAGTGGCAAAATGTGGAGATCTTGTTTATATTAATAATTTTGATAAAACTGTGAATATTGTGAAGAACGAAGAGATAGAGAAAGGTGATCAGACTACAGAGCTGGATACCGAAAGGTGTCTGAAGTACCTCCTCTGGTGACCTCCTGGTTAATGCGTTCAGTAGTAATAACAAACAATCAAAAATTGTTCGTTACTTTGGCGCTACAGAAAAACAAACAATACAATTTGATTGTGAAGGTAAACCTCTCTTTCATCTTGTTCATATTTCAGATCCGTGAACGGAACGTCGTGTGTTCGAATCACGGCCGCGACTGACCTAAGTCGATAAAAAATATGTAGAAACTGTTCCTTCGCCAAGCGCTCGGCACTTTGGAGTGAAAGTTGCGGGTCCTTCGGATGAGACCTGAAAAACCGAGGCCACGTGTCACTGTGGGCGTTGGCACGATAAAGAAACCTCACTGCTCAATGGTCCTGAGTGCCGAGTAAAGGTCTAAATTCGAAGCCCTTCAACGGTATATGGTGACGTCTCTATATGAGTGAAAAATTCACTCATATAATAAAACAGCACACAATCAATCAATCATAATTCAGATCCGTAGCTGAAAATAGGAATCTGGATATCTGTGTGTCTGACAGTGGAGCTAAAGCAGTAGCGGTGGAATGGTCAATCAGGCCGGGAAATTGAGATACAGTTAAACTGAACATACTCCTGCTCCGATAAAGGACACATTCTGTCCATTAGGAATCACCAAAGACAGTGAAAGTCATATCTTTATTGTTGATGATAGGAATAATTGTGTCCATATCATAGACAAAGACGAACAATATATCTATTACATAGAATGTGCTCTGGGTAGGCCCTGAGGACCGTCTACAGATACAAATGACAATTTGTTTGTTGTTCTATGTGAAAACAAACAAGTGAAGAAAATCAAATATCTGCAGTAAAAATCAAATCCATCAATTACTACAAATACTATATTCTGTGTTAGTGCTTTTTAGTATTATGCATTTAAAAGTCTGCATGAAGCCCAAATGAGTATTTTGTAACACTAATTATACCCATATTTTTGTATGTTTTATTGTCATCAATTGTTTATTGTATGTGCTAGAAACGCATGTAATTGTGTAAAATAGGGCTATTGAAAGGAAACGGTATCTAGCAGCTAGTGGTCAGTATTTAAACCCCCCCCCTCTCTCTCTCTCTCTCTCTTGGTAGATTTTCTTCAGGAATACTGTACAGATCCTTCTTGATGCGATAATAGATAGTAAGAGAAGGAACGTGCTATTTTTATGCTCGAACTTCTCCAGAACTGTAGATAGAGATACATATATATGTATATTCGCTGTACTCGTATCTTCAATGACATTTTGCACGTAAAGGACTTTGTAATGTTTTCTGTTTAGGAATTGTATATAGAAAGGTATGAAGTTAAGAATGAACACGCAAAAGGCTAATATATAGGTTGTCTTATGTATAATTAAATCTATTTTATGAACTTTTAAAACATTCATATCATTTTTCGAATTTAATATTTTATATTATCTCTTTGTGTTTATGACTGAATTATTTATATTCCTGAAACAGAAGCAAAGATTCCTTTAAAAATTAATAATAATTATACAGCT